TACACCAGTTGCGGAAGCGTTAATGATGAGAACCTTTGTGGGTGTGAGAAATAATAATGTTAATTTTAAATGCCCAGCAAAGCGGACGGGTACAGCTAGTAATGTTTATACCCTCAGACACAGCCCACTGAGTTTCTCACCGAATCTTCTCAGTGGGTCGCGTTTCCGATCCGGTGGTAGATTTTGCGAAGCACGGCTCTTGCTAGGGTTCGTGTTAGCAACGTCATCAGGTTTGAGCCCCGTGAGCTCACCTACTAGTTAAGGCGACGTTGATATAGCCTCTCAAGGCTATCAGCTTAGATAGGGAAAAAATGTTATAGGTTTATTTCACCGGTTAGTTAATTTCGAAAATATAAAGTAGACACACCGGAGTTAATAATATCAAAGGCACGATTTACTGAATGCTACAGCCTAACTGCACGGGGGCCCGAAGCACTGTCATGTTTATATTTAATTTCTCGACCGAAATGGAGTCAACATCGCTGTATTTCTGAAATTAATTGTAACCTCCGTTTGTCAGCTCCGCATACTACTTCACGGATATAGAGATAATGGATGTAGCTTATTTATTGTCATAATGGGCAAACGAACTCACGACCCACGTATTAAGTTATTATCTGAGCGTATAAGATCACATCACAACATGAATGATAATTCACCTTGCGACATATGGTCCAAGTTTGAATTGCACTATATATCGGTTTTTGTTTGAACTGGAAGTCGTTACTGCTACAATGTACCCGCGTCTAAGCAAGCGCGCGGCATATTTGGGTCATGTTGGCTAAGAACCGCAAAGGTCAGGGCCGAAGGTAGTAAAGGTCCACCCGATAAACGTCTCTGCTGCACTCTGGCCCGATACCCGATCCCAAGATCGAACCCGGCCGAGATTGTGGGAATTCTGCGATTAACACTATAACCAGATTTGCAGCACTCCCCAAGAACCTCCGGATAGTGAAGTTACCCAGGCGACCAATATCTCACTATTCATACCGCATCATTACTTCGAGACAGAAATAGGCAAGATATCGAATAGTCAGTTAGTGATTATAGTACGCTGGTGTATTGCTTAGAGATCCAGCTGATTCTTTTTAAGATCACACTACACAGGCTATACTAATAACATATTTAGAGCTACCATTGTACTTTAGAATGGTCAATATTAACGCTCTCTACTGACTACTTTCGCATATAGTACTTTTAAAGCCCAGTGGGGGGGGGGCGTAAGACAGAGCTTTCCAGACTGGTGTTTTTTACTGGTGGTAGGACCTTTTGTGAGTCCGCGCAGAAGGTACCACCACCCTGCCTATTTCTGCCGTGAAGTAGTAATGCGTTTCGGTTTGAAGGGTGGGGCAGCCGTTGTAACTATACTTGAGACCTTAGAACGTATATCTCAAGGTGGGTGGCGCATTTACGTCGTAGATGTCTATGGGCTCCAGTAACCACTTAACACCAGGTAGGCTGTGAGCTCGTCCACCCATCTAAGCAATAAAAAAATAAAAACATATTTAATGGCACATTTAAGCTTATCAATTCTAGTGATTATTTATCATTGTATATTTGAACGCGGTCGGCAGGGATATGCCGCGGGCGGTAAATCCGCGCTGGAGCCACGTGGCGGGCGGACCACAAAAGTGCTTTTTGATAGACAGTCACCACGACGCCCGCTCGTTTAAAGCCCCGCGTTGGATACAGCGGGAAATTATTCATTTAACTGGTATTTCGTTTTAATGTTGCAAAAATTGTTTTCGATCGAGCAGCTAATTTCAATAGATGAATATCTCGGTGAAATGAAAATGAACGATTTTCTTGTCAGTTTAATATTTTAGGCCTAACCTTTTAAGGTCCGTTGGGAGGGTTTTGCCAGTAGTCACCACGCTTGGCAGGCGGGTTGGTGACCGCAGTACTATGTCCTTTCCTCAGGGCATGCTGGGCTATTGAGTAGCTGTGATTCCATTGCCATCCCTTACACCCTGGAGGCCACGTACCGGTGAGTTCAGCGTTGGGCGTCCCCCTGCCCGTTGGACCGATGACTTGCGGCCTACATCCAGCAGTGGAGAGATACAGGCTGATAATGAACCTTTTAAGGAGTCCCGATCCGACCCTACTTAGGAGCTCCAACTCCTTAAAGCTCTTCATCGATTTACACTCGCAACAAAATTACCTCTTTTTTGAGGAGATACCTGAAGGAAGCCTAAATCTCCAACGAAGAAAACCAAAGTACTTTTTATTAGGAACGGAAAACGAATATAAGGCGTATTCGAATCGATGGGCAGAAGTAAAAGTTATCACGTTTATCTAAGTTAACGTAAAGGGCAATTACGAGGCACCAAACGTTTTCGGGGAAGGAAACGTACGTATCATTCGCGAGAAGGGCGAACGAACGCCAAAGAACCAGTGTAAAGAAACAGCTAAATAGATATTATATCACTTTTATGGCCCTTTACTCTGGGCTTCGTTTGAAATACAGCGATCGCGGAGTTTTACACCGTGCCTTGTTTGATGTTTGATGCTATTTCTTTTCCACTTTCCTGTCAATGATGCGTATCGATGTCTCGTTGGTAGAAATTGTATTAATTTTTACCGTACTTTGTAATGCTATGACTTCTCTTGCTATTTCTCTGTTGCCTATACCGAATCGTCTATGGGCAGTGCTCTAAGGAATTGTTGTGTGAATCGTAACATCTACCATAGAATAGAATTCATTTCTACTACGCGAAACAATTACATTATCTGGAATTCGACTGAAACCAGTCACTCACCAGTCGTTTGGAATGAAATCAACTCCAAACTAGTTATCAAGTCCTCGGCGGCTTGGCTGTGTATTTTTTTTTATTGCCTTTGTAGGCAGACGGGCATACGGCCCACCTGATGGTGAGTGGTTACCGTCGCCCATGGACTTCAGCAATGCCAGGGGCAGAGCCAAGCCGCTGCCTACCGCTTAATACTCACCATAAGCCTCGTTTGAAGAAGGACATGTCATAGCGCTCGGGAAACACCGTGGAGGGGAGCTCATTCCATAGCCGGATGGTGCGTGGCAAAAAAGATCTCTGGAAACGCACTGTGGATGACCGCAGTGGCTCCAGGTAGTATGGATGAACTCTACTCCGGTGGCGGGCGGTGCGATGGTAAAAACGAGATGCTGGTATCATCTCGAACAATTCCTCAGAGCACTCCCCATGGAACATACGGTGCACTCCCCATGGAACATACGGTAGAGATGCATTGCTGACGTCCGAAGACAGTATGCGTGTACGATGAGCGACGGTAACCACTTACCTTAGGTAGGCCACACGTTGCCTACAAGGGCAATAAAACAATTCCTTGCATTTCAGTTATATAAAGGATTAATACGTCGTTCTAGATAAAGTCTTGAAATGTAGAACACCGTTGATTTTTATTTAAAACTAACTGACCCGGCAGACTTCGTAGTACCTCAATCGATAACTAAAAGACCTAAGCTTTTGTATAAAATAAACTTAAAACAAACAAAAGGAATCCGTCCGACCGGGGACACGTCAAAGGAAAACAAAATTGTTATTTTTATTTAATTTCGAGCGTTTTCATATTTATCTACCTTTTAAACCTTCTTTTGACTTCCACAAATAATTTAAGACCAAAATTAGCCAAATCGGTCCAGCCGTTCTCGAGTTTTAGCGACACTAACGAACAGCAATTCATTTTTATATATATAAATATCGTATCTTAAATGAGTGCAGTAGAATAGCCTCGAGCAGGGAGAGATGGCGGGACATCGTGAGACGCATCAAGTCTGCCCAACCAACACTACATGACGATCACGACCACTCTGTCAAGAGTGACACGATTAAGAAGAAGAAGAATCTTATTTTCAAGATTTTTATATCTGATAATTCTCCGTGATTACTCAGAGATTACATTGGTAATTTTTAAAACAAATTTACACAGTACAAATCTGTAACAGCGACAGTTATCTTCGAATTAATTTCACAACAAAATGTTGCCATTGAAATGAAAACAAATTCACAAGAATTTACATAACGTTCCCTAAACGGCTGTAACTCACCTATTTCCTACTTTAGTACAAAAAGAAACAGCGCCCGTTCGAGATGTAAAAATATTAATAAAAAAATATAATGAAAGCGAGGCTGAAAGGGAAACATCATTTGAGCGGGCTGAGCGCAAAGATATTAGGTCGGAGGCAAAACGGCGCGGCATAACATTGCCGGAATAATTTCGACGCCAAACAATGTTACTTTGTCCGGCTAACGGCTACCAAAAGGTTTTTTATATAGCTTTCCTTGCTCAGTCTAAGGGTTCGTAAAGAGAAGACAATGTGTTCAACGCACGTGTAATCATAGTAAGCGTCATCTTTAGTGAGACCCCAAACCACGTTTTGTTTGTACTCCTAATACTTGCTATTTTGTAACGTTGTATTTAGCAACCACTTTGATTAGCTGTTAGGCATTAAAAACAATCAAAGATTTTATTGATAAACCGTTTTTATGTTTCGAAAACAATGAGGCGACAACGTTTCTTCACGAAGGTGACGTAATACTTATTTTAATGGCATCAAGTATCAATTTATCTTGATGATTGTATAAATTGCTTTTCATAATTATTTGCCTCAATAAAACGAAATTAACATTTCAATAGACTCTTGGTGTTACGATGGAATATATGTATTTTTGAAGTGAAACTTCTTTAGAATCGTTGTGATTTCAAACTCGATGAAACGAAATGAAAAAATAAGTGTGCTGCGATTGGCTTGCCGAAGCGGCTCCGAGCGGCGCCGAAAAATCACGAAGCGCTCCACAGGGTCTCGCGTCCCCGACTGGTTTAGTGTGTTTTTGACGTCCGACCGACGCTGTCGTGGCTCTCGGAGCGCCCTGAGATACTTTTATTTCTATTTAGTTTGTTACCAACAAATTTAATGTCGCTGCACGTAAATTCAACAATTCCTGAATTGCGGTGACGAGATGTTACACAGTTGATAGCCGTTCTCGTATTTCTCTTGCTAAATTATACTTACCTGGCGTAGGAATACCGTGATTAGGCGGTTCTCCCAGGGTGAGGCTGCTCCATTTCACTGCGGCGTGGTTGACCCTTGCGATTATTTTTATTTTTCATAAGATTCACTTCTACGTTTTTTACATTCTTTTTTTTTATTTATGAATTTTCAAGTTGTCATTTTGCCCAAGTAAATTCCAAAAGAAGTGTCCCATCTACTTAATCCGGCGTTCTTGAATCAGCATTCCGTTACTGTAATTGCCGTTTGCGGTGAAATGAATAAAACATTTGCTTACTTAGATTCGCTGTATTCGATTCTGGTTAACATATTTCTTGTTTAATGGAGATAAACTGTGAATATATGCTTAGTTTCTCTTTTTTGTTGTGGATAGAAGCAGGGTTTCGTTGAAATTAAGATTAAGGGGGTGCTGACTGGAAACTTTTCTCAGAATATATGGTTTCTATTCACCTAACTACATTTTAGAATCTATACTTAATAATATTAGCCTGAAGAGTTTGTTTGTTTGAACGCACTAATCTCAGGAACTACTGGTCCGATTTGAAAAAATCTTTCGATGTTAGATAGCCCATTTATCGAGGAAGGCTATATATAGGCTATATAATATCTCGTTAAGATCAATGCAAGTCGGTTAAAAACGTGACTTTGGTACCTTAAATAACTCCATAACATTCTATTATTTAAAATATTTTCACTTTCTACGTAAATGAAGAGGCGTGTAAAATTTAGCGTTATGCCAAAGTAACTATTCCACGTGGACGAAGTCGCGGGCAAAAGCTAGTAAAGAATATGTGAGGATCGTAAAAATAATATCTAAACCTCAATCAGCAGTTAGCATTAGTATAATATTTAAATTAGTATTGACCGAGAGCTGGGTAATACTAATTTAGAGAGGCCGTTCCAGAATAGCTTGGCATCGCTCAGTGGAGCAGGAGCTAGGCGTCTTGGGCATGACGTGGGAGGAGCTATAACAAACTGCCCAAGACCGATGTAAGTGGAAGGATTTGATTCGAGCCCTACATTCCAGCCGAGGGTAATAGGAAAGAAAAAAAGAAGAAGAAGAAGACCCGAGAACCGGAACTGTAATTTATTAATGATTATGAAAAGAAGATGGCAGATTTTCTTCCTACTTACTTGACACTTATCGTTCTATTTTGGGTAATTCACGCTATATCTTTACAAATTAAACCTATGTGCTACTTTGATGTGTCAGTTATTTACTTGTAAAGCTTAATCAAAATCCATCCAATAGTTTTTACGTGAAAGAGTAACAAATATACATTCATAAATTCTTACAAACTTTCGCGTTTATAATATTAGTAGGGTTATCGTAATTGTACGTTCTAAAAAAATCATATGTAAAGTGAGATATTGACGACGAAAATTTTTAGCATCGATTTTAGGTTTTTCAGTAAACAAGGATGATAATCAAGTCATTTTGGCGAAAATTGATAGAGGTCTATATCCAGCAGTGGACGTCTGTGAACTGATAATAATAACTGATAAACAAGGACACAACTGAACTATTCTAATTTACTGTAAAACTTAGGAATCTCGTAAAAGTTGATTGTAAGACAACTGACTGTTTGTACATTGTAAATTCTACTTTTGAAATATATTTTTGGTCAAAAACCTCGCAGATAAGTTCAAATGGCCTTCACTTATATCAACTCTGTTAAATCACAAATAATCGTTACCTTGTTTGTTTTAATTCAGAAAGAACAATAATATAATGATTTGCGGAATAAAACAACTATTTCTTTTGAAACACTAAGCTACCAAGTCAATTTCAAGTGTACTTTCTAAACAAAATGAAATGAATCAATAAAACATTAACGACAAAGAAACCTTTCTTTGTAGGCATATATCTATAAAATGAAAATCAAATAAAAATGGAATACAAAATTTAGAAAATCCAGTGACAAATTCAAGTTGGGAAAATTTGAATTCGTGTCGGATGTAGAGACAGATGTCGTTTAGCAGCACCGGTGCGCGAATACACAGCCTGTTTTAAATATACACACAGAAATATACTACTTTATGCTTATTTAATTTGAAATCCAGGGCGGAAATGTTCTGTTTCCAAATTGTACACAAATATGTGTCTGTTTCCTGAGTATTTGTTTGAATGAGACTAACTTGTCGTTGTGGTTCGTCGTATTAGCGGTAGGTTAGTTCTTTGATTACCTAGTTCTAATCTTTTATAAAATTAAAATAACCCGATTAGGATTTCAAACGTAACGATTCTAATAAAATATCGTGACTATTGACCATTATTTAAAAAAATTGGTATTACTTTTATGTGTATAATTAATTCATCATAGTTTTATTTCATTCTAATCTTTGAATAAACATTCTCGTGACAAAACAAAATATTTGAATTCGCCGATTTAGGTGGCAAAACCCAAGTCTGTACTAAGAACGGAGCAAATAACAAAAATAATTAGGATATATTTTATGTTTGTGACTGTAAGAAAAAATATCATAAAAATAAATTTTTAATACAAAAAGCTCGCTTAAAGTTTAGTCTATTGATACATGTAGACAATGTCCTTTATAATTCCATTTTCTTATTTTATATTAAACTAATAAAAGTTTGTAATAATAGCAAAAATACTCTGGGAGTTAGCTCTTAATTATTACGATACCAACGGACAGCATTTCAATTTTACTCATAAATATCTATAATCTTCGATAGCGTTAGTATCACATGATCAAATTAATGTCATTGCTAGGGCAGTTTGACACGAGCGGTGCGTGATGAGAGCCCTGTGGCCCCAATGTGGCTCTATTGACAAATGACTCAAGTACTCCCTAGTTTAGGCTGATAACACATTTGTGGGCCTATAAACTAAAAAAGTGGGAGGCAAAGAAGGGTCTACACTTGTAATTTTAGCTACACACGTAATCAATGAATAGATAATATTATAAACCTACCTATTTGGAAATTACGAAACTTACTTTTTTGAAAGTGAATCCAATGATGACGTCAACAGAAACTAGATACTGCTGTCATTTTACAACGAATACTTTGTCATATAGCCCTTCGATCTCATGTGGTTTTCTTTCAGAATATCGGACAGTCAAAGCGCCCCATGAGAAGTATTCATGAAATGAATTAAAATGAGAGTTCTAAATATATAATAATACTAGCTGACCCGGCAGACTTCGTAGTGCCTCAATCGATAAATAAAAGACCTAAACTTTTGTATAAAATAAACTTAAAATAAACAAAAGGAATCCGTCCGACGGGGGACACATCAAAAGAAAAACAAAATTGTATTTTTTTTATTTCCGAGCATTTTCATATTTATGTACCTTTTAAATCTTATCTGGACTTCCACAAATGATTCAAGACCAAAATTAGCCAAATCGGTCCAGCCGCTCTCGAGTTTTAGCGAGACTAACGAACAGCTATTCATTTTTATATATATAGAAGATAGAAGATAATTATGATAGCATATAATAGCAGGGGTTATTTATAATAGCAGGAGCACAGGTAAGAATATCACGAACTGTGTGAAAATGATAGTAGTAAGTTATCTTAGCTTGAAGAAATTTTTCACCGTCAATGAAAACGTGTCCATTAATATTCAAATAAGAATTTTGTCGTTTTCGGAATTAAAAATAAAAAATACTGTACGTAGCATGCACGCCCAGCCTAATGTTCCTTTGTATCAACAAACAACGCTTTACTAATAGAATTAACTGATGTGATTAATCGTGCTGTGTGCACCCAACGATTTCTGTAATGGACTGTTTTGATTACGAATTTTAAAGCTTAAATCTGTTAAGAGATATAAGAGATATAATTTTATTAAATGATCTCGTTGGTGTAATAGTCTGTGAGTCTGAATAAAGGGATTTGGGTCAGTTTGACTGAAATATGTATGTTATAAGCGATCATAATTATAGATCAGGTACACATTCATTAACACAATAATATTTATTTGTGTATTTAAATGCTCGTTTAATAAACTTAGTATATTGGATAGCATATTTTTTTTTTTTATTATTGCTTGGATGGGTAGACGAGCTCGCAGCCCACCTGGTGTTAAGTGGTTACTGGGACCCATAGACATCTACAACGTAAATGCGCCACCCACCTTGAGATATAAGTTCTAAGGTCTCAGTATAGTTACAACGGCTGCTCCACCCTTCAGATCGAAACGCATTACTGCTTCACGGCAGAAATAGGCAAGGCAGTGGTACCTAAGCGGCAGACTCAGAAAAGATCCTACCACCAGTAAGATTTTAATTTATCAAACAATACGCCTGCAACAATTTTCCTGTCCTCATCATCTGTGGTTGACTGATAGAGAATGTTTTAGGCATTTAATCTACTAATGTACAATAGTGTGCATGAAGTTGTAATATTTAAATAAATTAATTAAAAATATTCAAATTTTCAAGTAATAACGGTGGTAGATACAACAAAATCTTTTTTCTGCCGCAAAGCAGCCATACACTCAGGTTTTGAAGCAGGTGAGGCAGGTGAGGCCGACGAGACATCAGTTAAGGCTAGAAGACTTCTTCATGTCTTGATATGAGTGAATTTTAATATCTATAGGTTCTGTTCACCGCTTAACATGAGTTAGGTCGTCGATCGTTCACAAAATGTGATTTGGGCTTCCTACCACCAAGTTCAAACGAGGCTTGTAGGAAGTACTTAACGGTAGGCAGCAGCTTGGCTCTGCCCCTGGCATTGCTGAAGTCCATGGGTGACAGTAACCACACACCAGCAGTTGGGGCCTGTGGGTATGCTCGTCTGACTACACGGGCAATCAACCAAAAAGTTGATGGTGGTGTGCACGTCCTGGTATCCGGGCTTTGCTAATATCTGAACATCAGATGAAACGTGATCTATTGATCTACGGTATGCCTATGGCAATAAATAATATTTTGCCCTGAAAAAAAAAAAAAAACAGTAACACAATATTCTTTTCATATTTCACGACGGACCTTTTTCGCAATTCGTCACAAAGCATTTGAATTTTTCATTCGGATTCTCAACGGATATTCTATTCATACGTACGATCGTAATTCCGCAAAGTTTCGCGAGATCCCGTATGAAATAATCAAACGATCGTGTAGGCGGGGCGAGAACATGTGGCCATCAATAATGTATGAGTTCCAAAGCGACAAAGTATCAAGACA